CAAAGCAGCGGGTTTGGGGGTTATATTGACTTTAAGGGTGCACATATATTGGCCAGTGCTTTTGTCAGATTTTGTTGCTCCATTTTCCATCTGCCTCCCTATTTTAATCAAAGTCTCCAAGCCTCACTGGCACAAACAGTAGGGCAGCTGACAACCAACAAAGATTGAACAAGACGCACTGTTTGCCTAGATGCCCGTTAATAACCTCAGAATTCTGTGGAGACATAAGATTGTGGAGACATGTTCCTATTTGTCTTCATAAGGCATAATTGTTTTTTGAAAGAAGCATTCTTTCCAAATTAAGATATTGTTTTTTGAGAGATGATAAAAGTCAGGACTGTACACATTTTGTTTCTAGATTTGCAATCTTTCAATGACAGTGTATTAGTTTTTTGTTCATGCTATCAGTTACATTATTATTCCCTATTATTTTCTTAAAGAAGTATTACAATGATCTGTAACAGTCAAGAGCACAATTTTCAAATCTAAAAACTAATTTCATAACTATTTCCAAAAAATAGATACCCCTTGATATTTTTAAGTTGAGATTAATTTAAAAAGTCAAGTTACTTTGTGCTTCATGTTCACCAGTTAAGGACAATGACATTAATTGGGATACAGTGGTGTACTGTAGAGAACTGTTTTCTTTTCCTGATATGTATCAGTGATCTAGATGCAAGTCTTGTTAGCAATCTAGTGAAGTGTGCACATGACACAAAAATGGGAACTAGCATTCAGAACGAATTGCAAAGAACGTACAACATTGTGCGACCACCCCCTGTCCAAACTACAGCAGACAAATTAATCTGGAAGTAACAGAGGACCAGGGAACATGCCTGTAAACCACAATTCTACAGCTTCAGTAAGAGACATCTTGTGTAGAGCTCCCCATGTCTTTCTGATCAAAGAAACAAAAGCTGGACTTGTGGCTGTTCCTCTGAACATCGATGCATATTCAGTGTAGCAGTTACAAACATGATTTTTGCAGGCCTAAGTGTCTCCCTATTTAAATCTTGACATGCAGGTGTCCAAGTTCAGATATCTTGCACGTGCTTTCCAATAGAGAAGCTATTAACAATGTGACACTGAGATGGAACTCTTCTCTATTTTTCTTGTGCCCATTAGACTTCCTCTGGTCTGGAGCCAGGACTTCCTATGACACACAAGCAGGGGATTGAACGTTGTGATTCAACATTACCCTCATCATGGGTTTTTCAGGGTATAGTCTGGCTACTGGCTACTTCTATTTTGGATACTATGCTTTCTGAGTATACTTCCAGTGTTCACATATAAACCCACCAGAACTAAACTAATTTTTATAAAAGGACTTTAATAAATAAAAATAATTAACTTAATATTTACTTGTCTTGGCAATGTTTGAATGCTGATGTGTCCTATCAGACTGATTTAAACAATTAAGCTGGCTACACTATCAAACTTTATAGTCGGTTTTTAACCCTGTTTTATTAGTATCTATGTAATCCCTGATTATGTGATTAGCCACTTGTATCACAGCAGATTGATTCACACGCATTTGTTATTATATTAATAAAAATTGTATGTTCCTCCAAATCCTCTTATATGCTGTATGGCCATTTGTTGTGATTGATCCCTAGTCCCCTTAAAGGAATCTTAAAATGAACTCTTAAAGTTTCAAATTGTTTCAGTAAATTCAATCAATCACCACACTTTGTTACAATTTATTTTAATTTTGTATGGTAATAAATGTGTAATGTGATACAGAGGAGAACAAGTACCTGTTCCTATCTGGTCTTCCTATCTGCTACAATGCAGCAGGAGATCGGATACTTCCAGTGGGATAGTGAAATAGAGGACTGGTGACTGAGTCATACTTTATTGTAAGTTAGGAAAAATGAAAACACTCAAATTATTAGTCTTCTCTCAATATCCTTTTGCTTACAGTTGTGGTGATCCCCTGACTGTAGCACTGGGAAAAGTCTAATTAACAGGACTGTAGAAGATTTAAAAGAGCTTTCAGAACTGTTTTCACATTCTTGCTAAATTATACTGCCTTTCTGGGACACCTCAAAAGGTTGCTGACCTTGTGAAGCTCGTTTCCATTACAAGTCTATTCATTAGGAAGGTTCAGTGAACATTCTTGATTCTTAATAGATGAATTGTGTTGCAGTAATTTTTAAAAAAGCTGACATTTGAAATGTGCTTATATCTTCACTTTTGTCATGTAAATTCACTCATTGAGTGAACTGAATAAACACATGTTCTCAGGCATGCAGAACTTCAGTAGTACATTTTCTTTGGCTATAGGGAACAGGCATTAAGCTACCAGTGTGCCACATAAACTGAGACGGATTGTGCTTCATTCTAGGTTGACTGAGGGAACACACTTTCAGCACAAACAAAATTGGGTCAGATTCTCGTGGTTATTTCTGATTCATTTAATGAATCCATTAATGCTGTTAAAACATTCAGGAATTGTTATGGAACTTTTTATGGGACATACTGTGAAAAAAGCAATCAGCATGGAACAATATAATATGAATTATGAAATTAAGTCTTACAATTTTCCATAAAAGTACTTTTTTGCTTAGTTTTGCTCGTGTAGAAATTCACTATCGGAAATTTCATGAATAAATAATGGCACAGTTTTAAATAACTTTTAGTGACGTTTGAGGTTACAGAAAGTGTATGAAGAGTGAATGCTTTTTAGGCCTATGTAAATAGTATACAATGAGTCCTGAAGTATTGTTAAAGGAACACTGAATGGGCTTGCAGTGTAATATTCTTAAGTGTTGGTATAGTTAAAGAAGTAAGATTCAAATTCTACCGTGAAAAGCAATTTGTTATTTTATGATGCAGTGACATTTGAATAGTGATTGTAGAGGGCACAGGCTTGTTCTGGGCTCTGTTTCTAAATGAAATGTTTTATTATATTAGTTAATTTATCTTTTCATTGTTATAGTCAGGAAAATCAAAATTATATGCAATTGATTGTGATAGATTCTCTTACTTTAAAATGATATAAAATTACAACAGGAATAGAGTTATTTTATAAGCAGTCTGATCTAAGATGTATCTAGAACAAGACTTTATAAAAAATAGTTTATTAATTATTCTCTAATTCTTCTCTTTCGTTGCTACTGTAACTCATATATTGGCTTATATGAAGTACTAAAATTAAGGACAGATCGATTTACATATATACTATTACTTTCGTTGATCTGCTATGCATGTTCTGCTACTAATGTGTGTTGTGTATTTTGAATCAGTGTGCCAATACTGCTTTTTAATTTGTCCAATAGATTCCTAGTAGTGATTAAAGAACTCTGACAACTTACCCTTCCAATTTCGAAATGGTCTAGGGAATTGGAGGGTTACATGAGGTGTAGTATATAAACAATCTTGACCTGGAATGAGTGGTATTTAGGTCCTACTACTACTTGTTTCCATTAAGAATGTGTTGATGTATATAACGTAGTATTAGGGCAGAGAATAGCAAAGACTGAAATTACAGAAGTTAAAATTCTAACCAGAAATCAATCTGGACTCTTGATTTAATCAGTTGTAACACAGCCATAACATTTATAGATCTCAAAATATAATTTTCTTAACCCTAAGCCTGGCTGAACCCACATTACAACTATCCTATGAATACTCTATAAACACTAGGTATAATTTAAGGTAGAATTGCAGATTGTCTCAGAGGACAATCATTTTCTTATGACCCAAACATGGTACTAATCATATTAAGTTGACATTTTAGCTCTTGTGCAATTATATTCTGAATAAGTAGTTCAAAGCTTCAAGTGCAATTGGGGGTTTAGAGCTCTTTGTGCAAATCAACTTCTCAAGCTGATATCATAACAATGACTGATATGTTAAAGGGTCTAAAAAATGGTTTCAATTTTTTTATTTTATTTGAATAATAACTAAAGAGATGTCTAAAAACATGATTTTGTTAAGTTAATGTGTTTTAGAAATGTCACATAAATATACTATAGGTTTCCATTATGAATGAGTAACATAATAAAATACAATAATTTTTTATATATATCTAATAAAAAGGCGGTTTAGACTTTAAGATAAAATTGGTCTAAAAAATCCTCTATGGTCTTTATATTCAGAACTCATTCTCGATACTCATACTGTTTGTCACAGAACCACACCAACAGCTCCCTAGTACAGGCACACTAGAGACTAAAATTCTAAAATTTCTTTTTTTCACTGAGCCTTAACGCTCGCCCTGAAACTGAAATAATAAATTCCAATAGCACGACTGCATACTGGTGTTCTGTCTTCTCCAGAGATATTAGGCATAACGATGGTGAAAAGCACAATCCAGCAGTCCATACATTGTCACAGCATTGGAAACCTTTGGGGGAAGAGGATAGGAAAAAATTTTTGGACGTGCTAAGATATTTGAAAATTCCTCTTGGATAGACATTTAAGGACCAAAAAGGAGGGCATGTGGAAAAATTCTCGATGTGCAAAGTAAAATACCAAAAAATGTGTGCAAGGCCAAATTAGGCCCAAACACACTTTTAATCAGTATACAGAAGGGAGCAATAAAATATTGGTTACACCTAGAAAACTGTGACAGGAACCCCTATCACCACAAGACCCCGCGGAGCCTAGAACTGTGCCCAGAGAAGAGCCCTCTCAATCGGCTGGTCCTGAAGCTCACAGACACCACCCAAATCCACTTCCTTATGCACTGGGGTACAACAAACAAAAACAGCACAAACTAGAATGCTACAGGACCCCAAAAGGAAGATTCTGAGTACCCTTGATGAAGTACAGGCTCAGTGACCACAGCCTGGCCATAGAACGTGGGAGACACAGGCAGACCTGGCTGCCCAGAGAGGACAGGCTGTGCTCCTTTTGCCAGCATGGAGAAGCAGACACAGAGATGCACTTTCTGCTGCACTTTGAGATATATTCTGAGACAAGACAATCAATGTTTCCTAAAATAAACCTTGTCCCAGAATTCCCTTACCTGACAGAATCAGAACAGCTTCCAATCCTTCTGGGGGAGGAAACTCAATTGAGCTGTAGCCCAGTATGTGATCTCCTGTCACAGCCTAAGGAACAGAGTGAGCCTATCTCACATTAATGTTTTATGTGATGCCTGTAAATGCTGTGTTAATTTTATCTGCTTTGTCACACTAACTCATCAGTCACACCAATAAATGTGTTTAAATTTGAATTTGAAATCGAAGTAGTGCAATCAGAATGTGAACTAGCAATATTATATGAATATACAGTCTTTATGGCTACCACATGGGTTGTAACAATATAATCTGTTTGTATGAATTACTGTTGTTGCTTGTTCAAAGAATTCTCACATATAAGTTAACAAGTAAGCTACGATTTTTTTTAAAAAAAATCTATATTGACTACACTCTAACATCTTATTTCTATAAAGGGTATTCTCTAATTTAGTTACAATTATTGTTTCCATAACCTTAAACAGTATGTACAGCATCTCGGAAGTCATGATAGTTAAGTCAAGACCTTCAAATGAATAAAGTCTTGACTTTACACCTCTCTTCACCTTCACTCACCCCCTGAGTGCCTACTCTGCCTCTCTCCTGCTCCCACCTCCTCTCCACTCCCTTTATTAGCTGCTGACTTTCCTCTCTTTCTCGCACCTGAAGAGAGCTCCATGGCCGAAACGTTGTGTTAGCTATAGTGTTCAAGGCATGTACTGCTTGTGGGTCAAAATGTATTTCACCAATAGTCAACATAGGTTTCTTCAGCTTATGGTAAGTCACATCCTATGAGATTTTCTGCAGAGCTCACAGCCTGCTGTATGGCCTTCCTGTCTTGTGTGGTCCCATTGCTGTACCATATAGTGATACCACCTATCAGGACACTCTCTATCCCACAACGATAAAAACTCAAGAGTATCTGCTTAGTCATCATCTCAGTCATTTCAATACCATTTCATCCTGCAATTCCTCAGATGCCTCAGAAAGTGGAGACTCACTTGTCCCTCCTTCAGAATGGCTTCAGGATTGTGGGTGCAGGCCAGCTCATTGGGCCTGCCTAAGGAATCTAAAACCTAACTATTTTCACTGGTGCTCCGTTGATGCCGATGGGAGTGTGGCCTTCTCTTTGTCTCCTGAAGTCCACAATGAGTTCTTTTGTCTTGGCGACATTCGTGACAAGGTTGATGTCACAACAACAGTTTGTGAGATCTGCCACCTCATTCCTGTATGCAGACTTGCCATTAACATTTGGCTGAACCGTCATAATGAGTGGAATCTGGGACTGAGGCAGCTGCCATGAGGGGCTCCAGTGTTCGGAGTCAGTGTGGATGAGGTTTTGTCTGTTAGGAAATCCATTGTCTGGTTGCAGGTTGAGTGGCAAGGGCCCGGGTCTTTGAGTTTCAAGACCAGCATGTAGGGGACAATTGTACTGAAGGCTGAGCTGTAATCAATAAATAGCACCCTGACATAGACGTCCTGCCTGTCAAGGTGTCCAAGAACAATGAGCATGGACAGAGAGATGGCATCCTCCACTGACCTGTTGGTCTGATATGCAAACTGGACTGGGTCTAAGGGAGACCAGAATCAACCCGTGAGAAGAGTACAAAGTGACGACTCTGGATCAC